TCGGCTATTCCTTTTTGTTTCTTTGTAGCGACGGGTGGCCGCCCGTAGGCAGTTGTCTGCGACTCCTAGTGGTAACTGGCACTGATTAGGGTATGGTGAAAATGTTGTTCCTTTGAAACAAATAATTAAACTCGCATGTATTATTTTTGAAAATACGACATATGTTAATATTACGCTATTTTTAAAATCCACCCTTTCACCCTTATTTACGAAATGTAATATGGTCTTTCGAAGAAAAACTTTTGAAGATGGCACACACTATCTGAACAAATTTATATTTATTCATAACAAAAATATTTTTTATGCTCAATATATTTGCACATGAGGAATATTTTATTATTGTGATGGAAATGACCTACCTATCATGTTACACATTAATTATAAATTATTGTAAAATTATATATATAATATTTATTTATTTATTCATAATTTATTTGTATCAGCTACTTAAATGCAGAAGTTGTAATTAAATTTTCGTTTTCAAATTCTCTAACTTTAACTGTAAATAATATACTGTAGTTAATTTTTATAGAATACTAAATATATATACTAAAATATACTGTAAATGAAAAAGGTAGTAGCAGATTTCTGTTTGTTGATGCAGACATTTTTTCATGCCAAATTATCTGAAGCGTTTATTTATTATTAATATAATTTAATTATTCGTAGAAAATAAAAGACGTTCAAAAATTAACAGAAAATTCTGATAATTTCTGGATGTACAGTACATTTTATTAAAAATATTTTTAAAAAATCATATTTTAATTTGATCAACTTTTTTATTTTTTGGAAAAATTTATTCCTTTATAACTTTAATTTTCAAAACTTTACATTTTATTATATTGCGATTATTTTTATCTTTTGCGTGTTTTTAGGAAACCATCGCAACCAACCACGAAGTTGGTTTTTAAAAATCGATCCCAACTTCGGTTGCATAAATTTTAATATAAAATGTCTCTTGTCATTAGTCAAATGTTTATTAAGCAGTTCAGTAAACGATATAAGAATATCCTTGCAATGGTGTTCGAATATATTCTACTATGCTAATCGTATGTCCATACTTTCTGTTAATATTTGGGATGTTTTTAGAATCGTATTAGCTGTACGCCTACCTAATTATCTTGAAAAAATGCCAGAAATTTCGAATTCGTTAGTGATGCACTTAACTGCCCGTTAATTTCTGATTAATACAATACAAAATATACTGGAAATTTAATCGATAATTAAATTCAATTGATGTTAATTCACTCTTTTAGAAAATTTTTAATTATTCCGTGATATTTTATAAATGATGAAAGTTGTTTTCTATATTGTATTAAGACTATTTATGGACTATTGGCTAAAATACCTCCTTTAATTGTATTATTTCTAACGGATAACCATAATGTATTAATTATCGTTATAAATATTATTCTTCAAAGCATGTAAGGAAAATAATCTTTATTAATATATTATTTTAAGAAACTAATGTTTCGCTTGAGATAAGAGAATCAACATGGAATTACTAATGATGAAACTCATAGTTTAATAATAATTAGCTAATTTATGTTTATATATATGTATTACAATATAGAGGACAGAGTATTTGGAAATTGTTGGAAATGTAATTAAACCACTACGTTAAGAAATTGAAATGAAATTGTAAAATTAATATGAAGTTATATGTCATCCAAATAATACAGTTAGCTGTAAATTAGAATAATTAAATTAGATATATTTGTTCAAGAACTTTATTTCGTTTAAAAATGAAATAAAAATTTTGTTTAAAGCGAAGATGAAAAGAATAATAATTTTTTCGCCGAAAGATTTGTTCATTCTTTAGTAAATTGTTAGGGGCACAATTCTAATTGTTATCTTTAATCAATAGACTAATTTTTAAGTAGAATTTTCGAATTTTAATTAATTTATTAATGAGTTATTCTATCTATTTAATGTGTCATTAAATGTGTGAACATATTGTAAGGATTCTTATCTAAAAAGTTTTAAGGCCAGAGATTTAATGCTTTTATGAAAATGATATCAGTGCTTCGTGATTATTATCGAAATTCGATTAAATGTTTCTGTCAAATAACAATGTATAAAAATTCATCCTTCAAAAGATATAAAGAATTCTCAGCCTCAAGAAAATTTTTACCAGCGAGAATAGATATAACTGAATTTATTTAGAAGTCTATTGTAATTTTTTTAAGATCTTAGTTTTCTTCTATTACATTTGCTTGTAGCATTGCGAGGAACATTATTCCGTAAAACTTACCTGCTCCTATATAAATGTGTATCTGCAGTCAAGTTTCTCTTATCCATCTTCTTTCCCCATCTTCACTGTAACCATGGCGACGCGATGGCTTTGCCAAGTTCATTCTATCCAAAGGCAATAACTTAGAAGACTCGTATTTAATACCGTGTTTATTTTTTTTATTAGGTATTTGTTCACAGATTTGATTGCATTCTTCATCTGTGATTGCAAACAATGTTAATGACATTCGCGGTTACTTTATGAATTAACTGCGTTCGGTTTGTTTTTCGCCGTTTTATTAATGGGAATTTGATCCTTCATTCGCATTTATCCGTAGAGTAAATGGGAATATATTAGTTTACAATCGGTTTGACTTTTTGGTTTAGGTAATTCTTTTCTGAAGCTGCGTTGACAATGATAGAGTGCGAGTTGTCCACTTCTAGTCGAGTATCCGAGTTGCAGGGGGCTCTGGGTATTGATTTCATCATTAAAACCGGGCGCGTTCCACCCACCATTTGAGGGGGTGGCCAATCCTATCCGGGATGGCGAACTAGCGCCGTGACGTTCAAAGCACGCGCCGAACACACGTGCGGCGGTCTGTTCTAACGTCAGTTGAGCCTGTGTCGACCAAGCGTGGAAGTGTACTGCAGCTGCTCCTCCTCGTCATGAGGTTTCTAGCCCGGATTCGTTTAAGGATACTAACAAAAGTATTTCCTTCTTCGGCTTATCCTTCGGCTGTAAGTTCATTTCATTGTTTATCGAAATCGTTGTACATTTATCGAATCGTTTACGCTCTTATAAATAGAACGGTCAAACTGCAAAGCATGATAATTTATAAGATCAGTAAACATTAAGTTACCATTACAAGAAAATCATTTGGTTTACTTTATTTGTTATTGAACGTACAGCTTGTTCAAATATTTATTGTTTTTTTTTAAATTTTAATTGAAATACGAAATACAATCTTTTCGTGCCTATACGATTAAAAGTTTTTTTTATCATATTTGACGTATATAAGCTTTATTGTACCGTATCGAAGAAGATTTTTGCTAAGAAATCTAAAATATGAGACGACCAATATAGCTCACAATATTTCGTCAAAAAACTAATCAGATAATTGCTACGGAATCCAGATTGACTTCTGGAAGAATTTATTTACTTTTTTATTTATAATTATAAAAGTGCAGTAGTTGATAGCAAAGACTTTTACGCGACGCCATTTACAGGGATGCCTTTCGTTCTTTTACTGGAACTCCGAGAAGATACCGACATCCATTGTAAAAAGTTTGAAAATGGATTTACTGCTTTGTAAAAAAAAGCACCGGTTTTGCCATAAAGAATTTGAATTTTCTAAAGGTGAATAATAATACCATTACCGGTTTTGTGGTGAAAAAGAATTCGATTCGAGTCCGTTCTTGAGATCGATGATCTCGAGTTGCCTGACATCTTAAGGCTTTATTGAATAAATGCTATGTCTCACTTTTCAGCTGTTTTTTCCATTTTATGTATTATTTTTTCCTGGAGTACGCGTTTTTGTCGTTTGTTGTTTTTTGTAAAGATACAATCAACGCTAAATGTAAAAATTTACGATATCGAAAATTTTGAAAGTTGGGTATAATGTGACAGCGTTATATACATTGTTATAGTACACTGCAGCTCTCAACATTCAAAAATCTTTTGAGGTTTTTTTTTCTTATAAATTTCAATTTCTTCAGTCCAGAAAAGAAGCAAGAAAATGTAAGAACGACAAAAAATATAGAGCGATATCGACTGGTTTCTCTGCGATTATTATAATTTCGTTTATATTATTGAAGTTCTTGTTCCGTTTTTTTAGTTTTGATGTATCGATTTCACTCGATATCAATATGTGGTTTGATTTACGCGTAATCTATATTCTGGTCTTGACTATAATTTTCATTCACTTCGTATCAAAATGTATTTTTTCAGTAATTTAGTATTATATTTTGTTTTCTACATGAAAAATAGTTTTTTTTGCATTTCTTTTATTTATGTTTCTGTATATCATAAACACGTTCAGCAACTCGTTTTAATTTAATCTTACTCTGGAGAATAATTTTCTTTTATAAACAGTAATAGAGAAGAATACTGTTGATTGCTTGGAAATTAGTCCATAACGTTACGAAAACTAAACGAAGAATTCCTTACTATGCTTCAATTAAAGCAGTGTTTCTCAACCTCTAACGAATCGTCGTCCCCTTCAACGTAGTATCGCCCCCTTACTACAAATTCCGATGCCGAGGGCCAAGCTAACGCCAAATTCGTACTGCATTGAATAGACTAGTGACTAGGATAATGTTATTTGTTTAATTATTGTACGATATAACGAATAGAATATCTAATTATTCTTAATATAATGTTTTACTATATCGCCTCCCCCAAAATATAAATTGTTACTAATCGCCCATCAACATGGAAAACGCCCACATAGAGGCGATATCGCCTCCGTTGAGAAACACTGAGTTAAAGGAAATGCAAATTTTAAAAAAGAAATATATATATATATATATATATATTATTTTGGTGGTTCCTTTCGATCGATTTTAAACGTAAAACCAAACTGCTGCGTCTAGGAGATGCACTCTTCTGTTTTTGTTTTGCGTGTAAATGTGTCGTTAGGTAACTGTCGAGTGTGTATTGTATGGCTAAAGAAATGGATGATTCAGCTGGGAAAATTGCATTTTTGATACGCGGTTGTTTGATTTGTCACTATATCAATTCATTTTCTGTTTTTCTTTTTCTCTTTCAGAGCAATGACAGCTGGCAAGCTCAAGATAGCGACCAGGTAAATACTTTTTGTTTTCATATTTTTAAGAAAAATCAGAATTTCATAATGTATTTAAAATTAAAATAGCCAATAGAAATATCTATAACATCGTAAAAATATAATTGTTTTAATAACGAAATATTTTAATTAATTCTTTATAAATATAAGTAGTTAACAATGGAAGTGGAAATGAATGTATTTTTATTATAAATTATTTATTTATCTTATTGATTGTTTAACTATAGCGAAATGCCTATTTATATATATAAAACTCAGATTTATATTTTGTATTTTTATTGAATATATCGAAGTTGAAATTTATGAATTTTGTTTGGTTACTAAATTTAGATATAAGGTCATTGTTACACACGTATCCAAAACTTACGGGCGATATTTGTACATGAATAGAGAGAACTGCAGACAAATATGACAAGAATTGTATTAACCGACGTCTAACACACAACAACTTGTAAGATTTTATAAATCAAAGCAATAAAAGTAAGTCTTTGGTGAAGAAAGATACATAAAGCAGTCGAACATAATTGGAGAACGGATGGAAAGTGCTTACCAATGATTGACCCAGACAGAGACAAGTCAGTACGGAATATATCCACTTCGAACTGCGATGCAGCATTCATGGCGTTGTTGCTGGTTGGTCACCGACTGGCTCGATGGCTTTTTCTAGTTATCACCGCTAGCAATTGTGTTCGTTCTTAAGTTTTGGACACATGTGTAATATTCTATCTTATTAAAGCAATGTGTGTATTTCGCAAAATCGCTATGGCAATTATATGCTCAATGCAAGTCAACAATTGACAACATCTTATATTTCGGTTTTCTTGATATTATTAATAACTTTTATATTTCTCCTCTCTTATATCTGAACTTTTTCATTCTTTGATTTTATTGACTCGAATTTTATTGTTATTTTTATTTATTTATTTATTTTTCTCTCTCTCTTTTCTAAATAGCGTGTTTTTAATCTGAATGCTTTTTATCTGACAAATTTTGCTTCAGATGAGGGTTTCTTAAACTGGTCGCAACTTCAAAGAGGGTTGCCTAACTGAATGTGCGGAGTCGCAAAAATTTGACAACACAAATTTTACACTAACTTGTAAGTAATGTATTTATGCAAAGTAGCGCTTTCGACATTGACCATTGTAAAATCAAAATGTCGGTAAACGCTGATGATGCCCTGCGTCCTGCAGTGTCAAATATTAAGCCAAGATTTCATTCTTTATGTAAAAAATAACAAGTGCATCCATCTCATTTGTATGCAAATTTGCTTTTGTCTTTAATAAATGGTAAAATAATACGTATATCAAAGAATTGTTTTAGAATAAATTATTTTGTGATTTTATTTGTATTTTTATTTTATATATCTATATACAGGGGTCGCGTAAAACTTTATTAGGTAAAAGGGAGGTCGCGAGTGAAAAAGTTTAAGAAGCCCTGCGTTAGATAAATAATTTTCGATAATTTTAACACATTTGCAAATGAAAACCAAAGCTGTTCTCCGGGTCGAGATATCTACAAATAAACATTGTTTATCTCCGAGTTACTTAATCGGAAATCTTGTGAATTTGTAGTGAGTGACAGGAGTCGCGGATTTGGAAAACAGCTGCTACCGTTCTCTCGCTCTAATGCTTGTTATCATAATTCATATTTTCTGCTGCATCGGCGTTTTTAGAGTTTTAAGTCGGTTCCTTAACACTGCCGTTTTTGCTTTATATATGTAATATACAGACATCATAAGTTTAAAATTTCTTTTCGTTTAACATGCTTGGTTCATCTTGGGAGCAATAGGTATTATTCGTCTTCGCTGCTTTTTTTCACATCATATCTGTCGAATTTGCGACTTTAATTAGTTACAAGTATTTTCTTGGGACTGTATCAATTTTTTGTTCCTCTCCTGGTAAAAATTCATAACATTATGCGAACAATATGATTTGATATTTTATAAGAAAGCACAAAAGTTGTAATAAATTGGTTATATATAATGCACACACGTTTATATAATAACCCGAAAATTAAGTTAATTGCGTGAATATTTAGAGGAAAATTCAATGATTTTACACATTTATTTATTGAAAAGAAATTTATGCCGCCTAAGAATAACACGTATTGAAAGTGGTTTCGCGAAATAATCGTATTGGTTTTCACATTTTTCTATGGTATAACATCATTTATATATATTTACAAAAATATTTTACGTTCTGACAGAATAGACTGTAATTTTTTTTCTTTCTGTTTGTCGTTCATCCATTACTATGGAACTTTAAACTTTAAATAATAAAATTTCATTATAAAGGAACTAACGAAAATTAAATTTTGGTATAAATTAGAATATATTATTACGAATTTATTTTCATTCTTTTTAAATTTTAAATTATTCTATTAGCTCGAAAAATTTTGTAAGTATTGAAAGTTTACAAATAAATTTGATACTGTATAATATTTTCAGATATGGAAGTGGAAATAAGCAGAATGCCGTGTTAAATTGTATAAATATATCATACGTTTGCATTAGCAGAGGTATTTTTACAAATGTACATTAGTGATGATGCAGTTGTTTTTTCTGAATAAAATGAAATCAAAATTTATTCATAAAGACTAACTAATCACTTTTCAAATCAATCAAAACGCTGCAAACACCATTTAAAAACTCTATTATATTCCAAATGCCCAAGAATGTAATAGTATATTTTCATAATAATGGTTAGAAATTTTTTTTACTTCTTATTATAATCAGAAATAATAAATACAGTAGAACGTCGTTTATCCGAATCAATTGGGGACTGAGGTGGTTCGGATTACTTATTTTTCGGATAACCGATTACGCACGAAAAAATATATTAACCTATCCCATGTTGAAATTTTTCTCCGTTGCGTGTCGCTTCGCTTTGAATTTTGTCGATGTTAAGCTGAATGTAAACTTTTTAAAATAATAATCGTGGCTATTGTATCGTTAAAAATTATTTCTTTATTTTTTACAAACAAAATAAATATATTGAAAAATATAAAAACAAAAAAAATTATACTTTAGAAGTTAATCCAGTATCAAAAATGTTTGATTCAGCGCGACACACAGTCCTCAGAAAAACACTACACAAAAGTGCCAGTGTTTCCACTAAAACACACACACCAACAAAAAAAAATATTGGAGTAGCCCAAGATGTAGCCAAAGATTGCAGCGCCACAGCACTAGCGAAAATTAAAATTTGCCGACTGGAATTCTTTCGGATAACTGACTTTCAGATAAACGACCCTCTACTGTAGTTCAAGAAGATTGTAATAGATAGGCCTAAATATTAATTTTTACTTCCCATGTTGTTACACATAACAGAGGGAAAGTATGGCGATCGGTCAAAAAATGACCTCCGTGAATTTTACATTTTTGGACTTTGGGACCTTGAAGCATCAAGAAACTCAAAAAAATTGGGATTTTTTTTTCCTGTGTGGTTGAATGTTAGTGTATGTGGGAGACGAGATTTTGTTCATTTTGAAGCTTAATAACTCATGTGCTTTTTGTCGAAAATTATTGAAATTTTGCAGGGAGGTTTGTGTATTATGGGGATTGATGCGATTAAATTTTGGTTGTTAAAGGTCTAGGGGTGGGGAAAATAGAGGTGGGTTGTACTGTACTGTACAGTACTTCGTATCTCGAGTAGAGTTGGACTTAATGAAGATTTTATTCGTTGTCATCATTTACAATTTTTTTATAAAACTCATATCTATTCTCAAAATTAAGCTTTTTGCCATTTTATAATAATTAAGAATATAAAAATATTTTTAAAATAAAATCTTGTAACAGATGGCGCCACACGCAGTTTTATATGTTTTTGCCTGGAAAGTTAGGCAACTCGTTGCTAGATTTTTACATTAGTATCTCGTAGATTGTTGCATTTGTATAGTCATTAATATTACAGCACGTGGAAGTTTTATTTTAAAAAGAGAGAGAATTTTTCTTTGTTAGTTAATAATGTTTTATCCATTTGTTTCTTTACATGCTTCATTATTTTTGTTTGTATAGTTTTGCTTCTATTTTTCATATAAATTCGTTTAAAGTATTTTTAGCCATTTCGTAACGTTGTGTCATCTGCATTTCATAAATAATAAAACTAGAATCGTTTACAGATCTTACAGAATATTTTAATATCAAACGTGCTTTTTCTTTTAATCAGTAGATAATTGTGCTGGTTTGACTCCTTTTAATAATAAAAGTTTTACTGTTAACTTTGCAAAATAGTAAAATATTTATATTTTTATTTTATATATCTATATACAGGGGTCGCGTAAAACTTTATTAGGTAAAAGGGAGGTCGCGAGTGAAAAAGTTTAAGAAGCCCTGCGTTAGATAAATAATTTTCGATAATTTTAACACATTTGCAAATGAAAACCAAAGCTGTTCTCCGGGTCGAGATATCTACAAATAAACATTGTTTATCTCCGAGTTACTTAATCGGAAATCTTGTGAATTTGTAGTGAGTGACAGGAGTCGCGGATTTGGAAAACAGCTGCTACCGTTCTCTCGCTCTAATGCTTGTTATCATAATTCATATTTTCTGCTGCATCGGCGTTTTTAGAGTTTTAAGTCGGTTCCTTAACACTGCCGTTTTTGCTTTATATATGTAATATACAGACATCATAAGTTTAAAATTTCTTTTCGTTTAACATGCTTGGTTCATCTTGGGAGCAATAGGTATTATTCGTCTTCGCTGCTTTTTTTCACATCATATCTGTCGAATTTGCGACTTTAATTAGTTACAAGTATTTTCTTGGGACTGTATCAATTTTTTGTTCCTCTCCTGGTAAAAATTCATAACATTATGCGAACAATATGATTTGATATTTTATAAGAAAGCACAAAAGTTGTAATAAATTGGTTATATATAATGCACACACGTTTATATAATAACCCGAAAATTAAGTTAATTGCGTGAATATTTAGAGGAAAATTCAATGATTTTACACATTTATTTATTGAAAAGAAATTTATGCCGCCTAAGAATAACACG